TTAGGGACTGTCTGGGGGCTCAGATGGTTCCAGGGCTGTGCTGAGGCAGCGATGCTGTTCACACACCCCCCAAACACAGGCCTGAAGGGGAAGAAGCACCAGGCCACACCATGGAGGGTGGTGATGCCACTTGCAGCACGTTGGCTCACGAAGGATGCCTGCAACGGGGACTCCTGCCATGGCACCCCCCTGCCGCCACGCAGCCCTTGTTGCCCTCTTGTGGCACCTGCTCAGCACCACAACCATCCCTATCCCTGTCCTTGTCCCTGTGCCCACGGCTGCGGCAGCAGGAACAGGCCCACCATTCCCCGCAGGAATCGTATCCCCACCAGGACGGGTACGAATTTCCATCACGCTTCTACCCGTGCACATATTCCTGGCAGATGCAGCCCTAAAGCGAGCACCGCAGGTTTGCTTGATGGTGAGGGGGAAACCACCGCTCTGCTGATGCTGGCCACGGTGACAAGCATGGACCAGGTCCAGCTGCAGGCTGCTCGCGTGTCCACAGAGCCAGCCCTGGGCTCTGCATCCCCTCTTTGCCACATGGAGAAGGGGTCACCATGCCCTTTGCCCTAAGTGAAAACAAGCAAAAGCCCACTCCTGCGCATTTCTCCACCACACTAATGCCCATCTCCTCCCAAGTCATTCAGCCAGAAAACTTGGCACGGGTTGTGCCATGCTGGCAACGCGGGGCTGCCATTGCTCCAGTGCAGCCCCAGCAGACCTCCTCCTCTCCTCCTCCTCGGTGGGATTATGTGCACGGTCCTGTCTGGCACAGAGCTGCCAGCACAGCTTTGAAGTGCAGCCCTGGTAACAAAGCTTCTGCTGCAGGAATGGGAAAACACCGGGACAGAGGCATCTCCACCTCCATCACTCGCTGGCCTGGGCAGAACTGGAAAAACGAAGCAGTTCTGTAAAAGGGAAAGGTCCAGGCAGAGAACAGGGAATATTTGCTCTGCACATACAATGTTTGCCCTCTTGCATCTTGCCCCAGCCCTTCAACCAAAGGGTTGTTTCCACCAATGTGGGTGACGCACAGAGCTATCTAAGGACCGTCATCAAGCTGTGGAACCCTCTGGCTCCCACGCAGAGCCGGACAAGCCCCAGGTGTGGGGCTAAGGAATAAGCAGGGTGGAAGGTGGGTCTATTTACCCCCCAAACTCCTGGCCAGAGGCCTTAGACAGAAACCACCTGGTGCATCTTCCAAGGCGCCGGCCCAGCGTGGAGCTGCCTCTTTCCCCACCAGCGGGCAATGAGCAGCTCCACACACGCTGCGCTGGGTGGGTGCTTCGCTGGTGGCCTCCCCAGCGCCACATGGCCGAGTCCTGGGTGCACCAGGGGACCCGTTTTAGGCTCCGGTGACAGAGGCATCAGCAAACCCTGCTATAAATAGTGGTGTCGAAGGAATGAGGTGCTCAGGCTGTTCAAATCCTGGCACGGCCGCGCTAGCGCTGATAGCGAGTGCCCTTTGCTTGTTCTCTTGCCGCCAGGTCCTCTTATCTATTCCTCCAAGCCCGGGTGTTTCTGTCACCCTGTCACCCGGTCCCCTGCTCTGACATTTCAGCCTCCTGGGGTGGCTGCAGGTCCCTGCTCACATTTGTTGGCCCTTATTCTGTGCTCCAGAAAGGAGGTAAAACCAAACGTGCTGCAGGGACGAGGTGAAGTCCCCTCATGGCCAATGCCACAGGGTCGTAAGGACAGCCCTGTACTTGCATGGCCCCTACACACTGGGACCTGCTGCTGGCCATGCAGATACGGGGTTTCACTGCACTTCAGAGCACTCCTGGATTGCTGCTTTTCTTCTGCAAGGAGCTGGAGTCATCCTCCAGACCTGACGTTACCTCTGGATCATCCTGGTCTGTGACGGTGATGGGGAAACTGAGGCAGGGAGGTGTCATGACTTACCCTGCACGTACGTGAGGACCAGGAGAGCAGAGCCCACACGCTGCCTGACCTCCTGCCATGCAGCTGGTCATCAGGGATGTCACATCCTCACCAAGAACCCCACGAGTTCTTGGGGTTAAATCCTGGATTCATGATGAGAAGCAGTTCTTTTGCTGCTCAAAGACTGTGATTACCTTGTGAACATCTGCACTGACAATAGCTGAGTGGCAGCATAATCCTCCACCAGCTCTGCCTCCGCCTTCTCCTCCTCCGTGCTCTCCATTTTAAAGCACACTCATCACAAAGCCTGACGAGAACCCCAGAAAACGAGCAACAGAAACAAAAACCTCAGGCTTGCAGCAAACCAACAACGAGACATCACAGACCCATCGCTGGTCCCCAGGAGCAAGTCAAGGGCTCGGAGCGGTCTTTGCATGGACATCAGAGGCAGCTCTTGGCTTTGGCATGGACATCCCGACCTCTCAGGACAGTGTGGACCCACCTGGACTTTCACTGGTGCAACATGGGCCTTATCAGTGCTGGAATTTGTTTTTCCTCCAGGCATCTGGTGGAAGAACACGCAGGGAAAGCATTCCAGCGAGCAGGACACTGCTGAGGGCCATCCATCCGTCCCTTAAACGAACACCCATAGTAGAGATGCTGCCCAGGGGCCTATGGACATTCCTTGGCTATATTTGGTGACAGATGGAGAATTTGTTGTTTCCCCTTAATCCATCTGTTCTCCTTATTGGCAGGGAGGAGCTAACACCAGAACAGCAGTGTCGCTATTCGGATAAACCCGGTACTTCAGCAGCAATAAATCTCCTCTAAAAAGCTTTTGCTGCCTCCCACCTGTTGGCTGGGAGATCAAGTTGACAAAAGTCTTTTGCCAAGCTGTATTTTTACCCCGGACTTCATCACAAGCCCAGGTTACAATAAAAGCCTGTTGACAAAGCAGAGGGATGGAGCTGGATCACAGCACATCTCTCAACTGGAATCCCACCTCTCCCACAGCTCTCCAGTTCCCAGGTAGCTGCTTTATTCTATTTTCTGAACTCCCTTAAACCCCAAAAGGCCCTTTTCCTTCTCAGCACACCCAGCCCCTCACCATAAACATGGGAGGTCCTAAGCCGGGACCCCAGGCTCTTGCTGGCTGCACCAGGAAGCCAAAATACCCATTGTGAGAATGGCAACAGAGCGAGGCTGGGACAACAGTTTATTACAGAACAACACCCCGAGAGGTTCCATTAACAGGGCAGCCCATCCATAAGGAAAACCACTGGAGGACAATGAAGTGAAACCCACAGCAACAACACACAGCAGGAAGTCCAGTCCTCGGCCAGGGCAGCACAAGAGGCACAACTGCACCGGCCCATGCGGGTGGGAGACGTGCCCAGACCTAATCCCCCACCCCAAGGAGACAGCATGGAGGGGCACACAAGGGAAGTACAAGAGCAGCAAATCCACCTCTGCCAGTTGTAGTGATGGAGGAGAAAACAACGTGGGAAGCCATGTGGAGAACAGCAAACAGGGCAGCCACTGCAGGAGCGGAAAATCCTCCCTGCACAAGGACTGGGGAGGTGCAGAGCGAGGTCTGCCTCACTTGGGGCCCATTTGCTGAGCGCCTAAACTGCCCTGGCAGCAGGAGAACCTAAGCAGAGTCACTAAAACTCCTGCCTGCACCATACCCCTGCCCCCAGGCTGCCCCCAGCTCCTGTGCATCTCAGCACAGTGAAAGCTGCTGAGATCCAGGGCCATGCCCCAGAACCATTACACATCGCTAACAGCACCTTCAGACAGAGCATCTCTTCCTGCACAGCACAGCCCTGCCAACACCTCAGATCTGAAACACGCATCCCCCATAGCACCCAGTGCGAGCACCCATCCCCAGTGCCTGTTCTTGCACCCTTATCCAACCCCACCAGCACCCTGGGCTTCCCAAGGGCTTGCTGACAGCTCCATTCCTCTTCCAACATCACCTCTTGGGCTGGCAGGACACTGTGGAAGTGTTTCCTGGGAGGCCAGGCTGTTATCCCAGCTGCCAAAAGGTCTCCAAGATACAGTTCGGATCCCAGTATCTGGGGTTCACGTTGGAAAGACAAGACCTTGTTATAAACCCGTATATTAATAGGTTATGTTCTTAGATACTCATTTCTTTCAAGACTTTGTGTTTGGATTTTAGACTTCTCCCTAAGGCGCTCCTCACCCAGATGTGACAAGTAACAGTCAAAGTGAAATAGTTTTGGGAGGGGGTGGTGGTGGGAAAGTGCAATTTGCTTTTCGCTGCTAGAGCAGGATTTAGTGCAAAGAGAAAAGAGTCTCCCGAGCCATGGGAGGCATCACCAGCTTGTTCCTATGATCATGCAAAGTGCCCTGCGAAGGCGAGCCAGAGGCAGACACGTACCTCAGAAAACCTCAGCCCATGGAGCTGGTGTTTGGAGAAAGCTACTGTCTGACAACACTGAGCATCCTTCGTGCCCAGCCATGGGGTGTACCGCCTACAAAAGACAAAAAAGAGGGGAAAACCCCCACAAGAAAGAAGTAATCTTTAATTCTCCCCCTCCCTCCCCCCCGAGAGCATCCCCTGGGACAGGGCTTTGTGCAGAAGCATCAGTGTGATTTTCACACTGGTCTGGAAGCAGCTCTCCAATTGATTTCTCTTCCTGTTTTCCCATTGGAGCTTTGCTTCTCCCGCACAGCAACACTAGCAGAGGTGTCTATTTTAGGAAACACCAGCGGTTTTGAGAGGCTGAGGAGAAGACGATGATATCAACTCACTGGGCTCAGCCTAGAAAGGGGGAATAAAATCCTTTAATTAAATCCCCCAGACTGAAATCCTCTGCAGATTTACCTAAATGGACTTCAAATGACGTCCCTAATGCATTAGGGTCTGCCTTTAACTTAATTCAAGTCCCAGTTATGTGTCTGCAGAGCCTGGGGTGCTCACAGCAGAGCTGGCCATTGAAGGCCTCACTGAGATGACTATAAATCACACAACTGGGAAACCCAAACCCGAGAACCTGGGCCAGCAACTCACTAACCCAGAGCTCCGATAGAAAACAGGATTTTTGTCTTTCTTTTTCATGTGTTTGCTTCTATTTTTCCTAATTTTAGCGCATGAAAGGAAAGCTGCTCAGCTGACAAAAACCTTGCTGAAAAGACAGGAAAGATTTTCTGGCTGGGGAGGAGGGGCTGGCCCTGTGAAGGAACAATATTATGGTGGAATTCTAGTTAAAAAGGGCAATATTTGGTTTCAAAGCTGCAAGAAGGGGGTTTGTGCGCTCCCAACTTTCCAGTTCAACAGCTCGGCCTGAACATTTGCTTTGTAAGTCAAGGCTTTGGGAATCACCTGGGGTTTTAAAGAAACACCAATAAATTAAACCTGGTATAAACAGTGCACAAAAGGAGGGATCCATCCTCCAGGGGGTTTGCCTGAAGCAAGTGCAGAGGAAAGGGGAAATGGCTCATGGGGCTGCCCGGGAACAGGGACAACGCCAAGACATTGCAATAATACAGAGGCAAAAGGAAGCCTTTCATCAGCCCCTTCCTCCATCCATGCCCCCAGCACGGCTCCCGGTGGGAATAACCTCGTGCTCGCAGGGCAAACACTCTGTGCCTCGAGACCCCAGCCCTGGTCAGAGTGTGGTGCACGGGTGAAGCTGTGCTGACCAGCCAGCTCCACTACTTGCTGTTCGGGGTTTGCTTCTCCTGCGCCGGCCGCTTGTGCTTCTGGGCAATGCCATAGGGGACATGGGCAGCAACGGTGCCCATCTCTTTGGCTCCCTCCACATGGAACATCTGGTCATCAAAGAAGATGTGAGGACGGATCTTCTTCAGCAGCGGCCCCTTGGGAGCCCCAGCCAGGAACAAAGCCTCATCCGTCTCCAGGCCCCAGCTGCGCAGAGTCTTTAGTGCCCGGGCTCCTGAGCTGGCCGCGCTCCTGGCAGTGACCAGGTAGGTGCGAATGGGACATTCCATCCTCAGCCCCTTGGAATAGAACTTCTTCTGCAGCTTCCCCAGGGCCTCCAGGAAGCCTTTCAGGGGTCCCTGTCAAAGCAAGAAGAAACCATCACTGTGCAGACCTCCACATTATCCCTTCCTCCAGACACCCAGTGGAGCAGAGCCAGAGGTGCGACTAACCCCTTCTCCCTGTGAGCCCCAGAAACAACAGCAAGGGGCCAGCCGCAGCCATCCCATGGGCCAGCTGACCCACGGCATCTCACACTCCATGTGCCACCCCCTGGCTTGCTCCCAGAAACAAGAACATCCCTGTGGGCTGCCTTCCAGAGGCTATTTCTGGCTGGACCCCAGCACTACCTGTGCCAGAGGCTTGTTCTCGTGAGCCTTTTCATGCTCAAAAAACATGTCCAAGCCATGAGCCTTCACAATCTGCTCCGACTCGTCAGAGAAGAGCACAGCATCACCATCGAATGCCACCCGCAGCTGGTTCTCCGACACTTCCAGGTCTTTGCTGGGGCTGAAGATGGTGGCTGCAGCGATCCCTGTGGAGGTAGAGCGTGAGGCAAGAAGCAGCAGTTACCCAAGGACCCAGCCTCGCAGCTTATTCATTGAGGAGCAAAGCAAAACACACCAGGCTGGAAGCAAACACTGCAAGGAGATGCACACACCCAATAGTGCCTGAAGCTTGGCCCCAAGACCTTTTACAGCAAAGCCAAATCCCCGGATGACAAACCTCCCTTGGCATACAAGAATTAACGGGGAAAAACAGTGCTTTTGCCTTAGAAGAGCTGTGGAGCTTGAGAAAAACCTTATTTCTATGGAAACTAGAGGCTCTTTGGAGCATCGAGGATGGGATGCAAGACAAGCCAGACCCTAGCTTTCCCATAGACACAGGGACATTGGAGCTATAGCTGTTGACACCAACCCTCTGGGGGCTCCAGGCTCCCCCCGCTTTCCCCCACAAGCCAAACCTCAGACTCACCCTCTTCAATGGCCCCACTCACTTTCTCGGCGTCGGAGGAGAGGTAGAGGTTGGTGTGATAGGCCTTGAGGTAACAGATGGGGCTGTTCCCTCCCGTCATGCAGAACCTCTCGATGAACAGATCTGAGGGCAGACGGACCCGGGGTGAGCCCGGCTGCCCCACAACAGCCTTGACACTGTTTCCCCATGGCCTCCCAAGAGTGGCAGGATGGGGCTAACTTGGGTACTGCTGTTCAACAGCGTGGCTGGCGGCCACAGCATCCTCACCACCAACCAGCTGCCACTCAGAGCCCAGGAAACTTGGGAGAGGTGGGTTCAGCGCGTGGTTTGGAGGGAGAGATAGGAGGATGTCTCCTTATCCCGCTGGCATGCAATAATGCTGCCCAAAAGCCACGGGCACCCATGCAGAGCACAGCTCCGCTCTCAGCTCACCGTAGTGGTTGATGCTGTTGATCAAGCGAACCCCAACCTGGGCATGGTTGTTGGTCATGAGGACGATGTCAAAGAGCTCCTCGCTGTCGGGGTAGAGCTCACGCAGCTTCATGTTCACCGCCTCCAGCGCCTGCAGCACCCAGGGTGAGGGGGAAGGAGTCAGTGAGCCCCTGGCACGGCCCTGACCCCCTTAGCACCGAGCAAAACACTTCTGTGACCAAAGCTGGGGATCTGACCAACCCCAACAACACCCCGAGCCACGGTGACACCAGCAAGTGGCTTCAGCTGGGAAAAAGAGACTGATGTGGGGAAAATAATTGGAGCTACTCTGCTGTTTGCACACACAAAAGGTTTCAAGCTCTCATTAGGAGCTGGGAATAACTCAGAGTTACAGGTAAGTGTTTCTCAAGCAATCAGAAACAAGACCACGTCTCTCCCCACCAAGCAACACCCCGAGCCACGGTGACACCAGCAAGTGGCTTCAGCTGGGAAAAAGAGACTGATGTGGGGAAAATACTTGGAGCTACTCTGCTGTTTGCACACACAAAAGGTTTCAAGCTCTCATTAGGAGCTGGGAATAACTCAGAGTTACAGGTAAGTGTTTCTCAAGCAATCAGAAACAAGACCACGTCTCTCCCCACCAAGTGGATTAGGTTATTCAGTGGGAATGGGCAAGAGGTTGCTCTGGTGAGAGCCAGGACACAAACCTGCCCTAAATCCAGGGGAATTAAGGGAAATTCCACTGGGGCAGAAATTGGAAAATATTTGTACAGTTTGAAATGCCTCATTGCAACGTGTCAGCATTAGAAGTTGGCGGCTCCAGCAAGGCTGAATTCAGCCAGTTCAAAAGAATAAATACAATTTAATTTAAAAAACCAAACAAATAAAAATATGAGAATTCCCCAAAGGGAAATGATCCAAAAAGAAGATTTCTTCAGCTCTTGGGCTCCGTTGCTAATTTGGAAAATCCAGCATTTCCTCAGTCTTGGAAGAAGCACATCACTTGCCAGGAAGTTTATTTGACCTCTGTTTGCTCCGTGGCTATACCCCCTCTGCCACACTGCTCATTTCCCACCCCTTCCCTCCACAAGCACCCCATTGCCCTCCCCTCTCCCCAAACATTTTGGGTGAGGACCACGGAGCAGGTCATGGCTTCGGCAGGTGGATGCTCACCTTGACGAAGGGGAAGGCAGCCCCGGGGAGGAAGGGCTCGTTCTCGTGGTCCAGCTGGTATTTCACATAGGCCTCCACCCCCTGCTCGTTGTAAATCTTCTGCTCCTCCTCCATGCGGAACAGCGCGCGCGAGGACACCGCGATGGTGATGGCGTTCTCGGGCTTGGGCTGCAGGGGAAGAGGGGCAATGGGGAGGCAGCCCCTGCGCCAGACCCGAGGTGGGATCTGCTGACTTCCAGCATGAGCGGCCATGGTGCGGGTGACACCTTCACAGCGATGTGCAGGATAATGGGGCAGCTGCAATGCTTTTGACAGGCAAAGCCCTGATGCATCCCCACACATTCAGGATACCCAAAAGCCTTTTCCTGCTGCTCTCACCATGCCCAAGCCCTCCCAAAGCAAACAGGCTCCCAGGATCCATCCACGTCCCAGGAGAAGCACTCAAGCCCAGGCAGAAGGAATTTGGGTGGCTTTTCCCCCCCTCCCCAGCCAGGAAAAGCCACACACTGCGGCTTGGCCTGCTCCACACTCCCACGATGCTGTCCAGATGTGACAAACAGCCCGTGCCAGCTCAGCTCATAAAAACACTTGATATAGTTATTGTGGGCGGAAACATGACAAACAGGTGGTGCAAGCAGTGATTTATGAGTCATTATTATTAATGTTCGAGGGCTTGATCCAAAATCTGACTTCAGAGTAAGCAAGGGGCCTTGGCAGCGAGAAAGGGGACACCAGGAAAGTCAATCTCATCTTGACCCCCACCCGTCCTTCCTCTCCCCTCGGAGGGCAGAAGGGTGTTAATCCCCATCACTTGCTCACAAGCATGAAAGCAAGTTCGTTACTGATGGCCAACAAGAAATCCTCACTCCCAGAACAGCAAATCCTAAGGAAGGACAGTGGTGCAGCCGCCCTGAACCCCGCAAACTGCCCACAGCAAACCCCGGGAGCAGGACGGGGTTTGGGGCTCACACCCGGGATGCTCCCTGGGAGCAATCCCAGTCCACACGCTCTCTGGCTGTGCCCAAGGACGCATCCCACAGGGAGCCTGTGAAATCCAGGTCATCGACACTCCAGAAACACCTCACCCTCAGCTCCTTTGTGACTTCCAGGATCCTGGCACTGCCCCTGTGAGTAATGCTCCAGCAATGCAGTTTGCCAGGGGGCAGGAGGGCACCTTCACCACCTCCTCACACCCAGGTGCTCCGAAGTTCAAGCTCCCACCCCGCCTAGGGCTGAGCTCTACAGGAACAGAGCCTGGCAGGGACACAGCACCCATCAGTGCTGGGGATCCTGCCCTGGGGCTCACCCTGCTCCCCGCTGATCCTGCCCAGCCTGGAGACGCACCCAGGGCTGAGTCAGTGCAGCCTTAATGCCATTCCCAGCCCCATGAGCAGTACCTGAGGCCAGCCCTGCAGCACGGCCGTTCCCTGACACCTCTCCAAAGCCACAGCAGTACCCAAAACCCCGCACACAGATTACACAGTGGGTGCTGAGGACTAGACACACATTAGCTCAGGCTGAGAACATCACTGTGGCCAGAGGGATCCCTTTCCCACAGTGTTTGCAGAGGAATTAGGTCTCATTTGGAAGAATCTGTTTTGCACAAGCACATAAACACCCTCCAGGGCACAGAAGATCACCCAGGTCCATGCAGAAGCTGACCAGTGACACCAGCAACACTCCTGCCAGTGAACAACAGCCAGGTCCCCATCTCACCTTCACCCACCCAATGGGTGTTAGCTATTAACCTGGAGTGCCAAGACTTGGCCTGTGACAACTCATTAATTAATAACTCTGGTGTTATGGACCATTTATTAGCTGAAAATATTAATAACTAGTAAAGGTCTTGGGACATCCGGCCATTAGCCTTCAGCAAGGAGCCCCATTGCTCCATGCTGATCCCGAGTTCCTGCCAGCGCTGGGTTATGTATCCAGGTGCACAGGAGATCTGTTGGGTGTTTGCTCCCTGCTCCTGGTCCCCGACGGACAATGGGGCAGAGCATCCTGCACAGGAGGACCCCCAGCAGCACGCACAGCACAGGGAGATGTTCCAGGGGATGAGGTCCTGGCACAGGGTGCCCAGAGAAGCTGTGGCTGCCCCATCCCTGGCAGTGTTCAAGGCCAGGTTGGACACAGGGGCTTGGAGCAACCTGCTCTAGTGGAAGGTGTCCCTGCCCGCGGGAAGGGGCTGGAACTGGATGAGCTTTAAGGTCCCTTCAACACAAACCAGTCTGGGACTCTACGAGGTGTGTGTGGGGCTGTAAGCAGAGCCTAGCTGGGTGCCCTGCCTGGATTTGCACCTCTATCTCCCCACACCTTGCACCAGGCGGGTGCCAAGACCACAAGCACTTGCGCAACGGCAGCAGGCTGCT